CAACCACTTCCCCAAGCGGCTCACGCCCAAAAGAGACTTCTCGGTGAGAGCGACAGGATTGCTGAGCCGGGATCTGTTACTGATTTACAAACACTAGAAAATGTGTTGAGAATGGAAGCCATGTTTTAGCTGGGGTCTTTTTTTTTTCTTTCTCTGTGTTTTAGCAACCAAAGCTTATAAAATTGGGTCACACAAGAAATTATTTTAAAAAAACACATTCACACAGAGTTAATGTAGTGTTGTATGCACCAGACTAATAGTTTATATTTGTTGTAGTGTTAGCTTTTGTTATGATGACAGCTGTCAGATTTGTATGATTTTAGAACTTGATACAGTACAGTCTCATGGAACAGATGCACCGAAAGCCTCATCCAGCCAAGTCTGCTTGTGTTGAAAAATGAGACCAAGTTAACAGAATCCAGAACTTTTATTTTCTTTTTTTTTCTTTCTTTAAAAAAAAAAACAATACAAAAAGGGATATCCTTGTCAGCACTTACCTTTTGACCTCAAGGTTTTAATTACTTCTTATTTTGTACTCGTGGAGGGTAACTTGGATGTTAGTCAGGGTGGACTTTCCCTAAGTGGGTTTTTTTTTTTTTTTTTTTTTTTTTTTTTTTTTTTTTCTCTACATTTTAAAACCCTATCTACTTGAAACGTACGTGCTTTATGTTAAATTTCATTTTTGGCTTTCTTGCAGCCTCATTATGTTCCTGACAACTATAAGAGGAACGGCGGCCGATCAGCCTGGAAAAGCGAACGACCCAAAGAAGCTGGAGGCTGTGAGGACGATGCCTCTTCCTGCGACCGGGGTGAAGATATCCCACCTGAGGGAGAAGATGGAAGAGGAGTGGAAGACGACATGGATATGGCTTCAGAAGATTCCGCACTTCTTTCAGCCAAGCCTAGAAGACCAGAACGGGAAAGGGAGACAGGAGAAGAGGAGGACGAGGAGGATGGACAGGAAGCCGATGAGCGCAAGGGGCTGGAAGAACGTTCAGCTGAGAGGATTGGAGAGTTGCTTGAAGTTCCATCATCCTCGACTTCATCGCCACTACACCACCCAGCTCTGGGCAGGAGGGAGGCCCAGCGGGAACGACTGAACAAGATCCTGCTGGATCTGCTGCACAGAACACCCAGCAAGAACGGTGAGGGACTGGGAACAAAGGAGGGGGGTAGGTCAACAGATAAATGAGGGTTAAAGTTTAAGGTCACTTTGCTGTGACACGTCATTTGAACGTGTTGGATCATTTTTTTTAAAACTACTACTATTTCTGAAAGAATAAGCTTGAAGTTGGGGCAAGAATCTGTCCATAAGAAGCATAGGATGAAGAGGAGATCATATTTATGTTCTATTTTATGTCACCTAAAAATATCAAAATTTAGACCAACGCTTCAAGGAAAATTCCCATTTACCTCAACCTGGCAAATTTACCATTAATATGGCTGTAGTGGCTTTAAGGGTCATGCTCACTTTGCGATCATCACCTTTTTTTTTTAAGTTTTTAATCTGAACAGCATTTATTTGGGCGACAAGCATGAACTGCCTACAGTTTACCACAAGAGATAATTTTTTTTTTTTTTTACATCAATTAATTTTAATCATTTTTCAGTCTGACCGAATGTTGCCTGGAACGGGCATTGTACTAACCGCATTAGAAATCTTCATTCTGGGATACTTGCCAACTGACCAAATCACTGGCATACTCATCATCACACGTGTGTAGCTGACTTACACTGTGTTTATACTGTCTTCTGAGGAGAGTTGGCAGTTAAATGCAATGGCGGATTTACCCCATGGACCATTTTGAGGGCGAGAGGCTGTATCAGCTCGCTTGTCAGTATTGATTTTACCCAGAGTAAGCAGATGGATGAGGAGCTTAAACATAAAGAAGGAAAGACAGTACTCTGAAGATGGTGGCAGAGGCAACCTACCTCGGGAAACCGGTGGTGTTCCTGTCCTCACTGCTCTGCTAATGCCGACTGCTGCAAAGAAGGGGACCTTTGAATGTCTCAATGTGTCGAGCTGTGGAATTACAATTCATGAATTGAAAGCTTTGAAAACATTGCCATCCCCGAGATGGTGTTTCATCAACAAAAGACCAAGACTGGCCGGACTGAACTCTCAGCTTCCCATTTGGCAAGTAAGTAAAACGTCATTTCATGCGCTGGATTATTACACGTTACCCACTACAATACATTTGATAACCCGTGATATAGAAATACAGCCAAGTTTTGTGTTTACTGTCGGTCGGACTCAAAGACAAAACTAGTGATTCTAGTTGCCCAGATAAATGCTGTTCACATTTCCTCCAGTCTTTACAAGAGAGGACAAGTTGCAAAGTTGGCACGACACTTGAGGCCACATTAATGGGTTAAAATAAGTTACAATGTACCGGAGTTCCCTTTTAACACTTCATCTCACTTACTAATCTTAGCCTAACGTGAAAGATCCCCACTTAAAGACCATCAGAGGGTTGTTGCGGCGTAAAAAACCTTACACATCATATATCGGATCTGTCTGCTATGACAACCTCTTGCAAATAAAGTAGAAGCTGAAAGAAGCTTTTAAGTCAAGTCACAATGGGGAATTGCCCAGGATATGCTCATTTCCTAATGATTTGTCAGTCACAAGTTGTTAGCCAGTGAGCATCCAGTTTTACATTCAGATCCACCCCAGGCTCGTTACATCATACTTTAAAACACCAACATGGATATATGGTGAAAATAGTCAGCTTGAGGCCTCATAACATCACTTAACAAACTGATTGATGACGTCACAGTGACTACGTCCATCTTTTATAAAGTCACTAATTACGCTACTTGATACTTTGTATCATTACCAAAGAAACATTGTAATCTAATTGCAGTTAACAATATAATGATATGCCACCATATCAGCACAAATGTCTGTGCTCTTGCAGTTTCTTGTTGTTTTACAGTAAATTTGAAGTAATGTACATTCTGCTCTGCCGTGTTTGTCCTCTCTCCCACTTGGACTAAGCTCAGGCAGGTGGGCTGTACATGAACTATAAAAAGGCACATTTTTTTTAATTTTTCTCAAGAATTTATGTAATGCTTGTGAAACCCAACTATTTGGCTTGTAGATGCAATTTGTTTCTGATAAGACAAACATTATTTATCCAAAAAAAAAGGGAAATTCCTGTCACAGCAGCCAAAACATTAAACACACCCTGTAGTGGTTGCTAGTTTAGCCTACTGGGTTTAGTAAGTGATCCATATGCTGCAAGGCTAATGCAGAGGCCAGCGTTTGATCCACCCCAAGGCCATTTTTTACTGCCCCCCCCCTCCCAAAGGAAAAAAAAAGTGAGAAAAGCTCAATGGGAATAAATGAAATATGACCAAAGAAAAACCTCAGTATGTTTAAAAACTCCACAAAAGAAGGAGCTGAAATAGAAACAGATTAACTAAGCACCACAATAAATAGAACTCTAAATACAATAAATACTGATACTGTGGTATGAGGTCTTACCTGAGTTAAGAACATTACCTTACTACAAACAAATGATTAACGTGTTAAAGCCAGTATCTATCTCATCGATGTCTAAGCCAAGGTACCAAAGCCATATTTGGTGGATACAGACTAGTAATCCATTACCAGTGTTAAATGAATGAGCTGCCTTAAGCGACCCTGGGAATTATTATTTTATGTGTACAACAACATCAGACTTAATTTTTATTGCTTATTAACTGTTTAACAGATTATACTTGAAGCATTTTTGCATTAAAGTAACTTGCCTCCATGCGGCTGATTTTTTTTATTATTTTTTTATCTTTAATGTGATCGCCCTATGTCATCTATTTGTGTCCAAGCTGCTAATTTTCTCTCTCCTTCCAACTTTCTCCAGCCATTGATGTCACTTATCTCCTTGAGGAAGGCGCAGGGCGGCGCCTGCGGCGGCGGGTGCTCGGATTCAGCGATTTTGTAGGCAGAAAATAATGTTTCTATGTGCCTGTCAAGCACACTGCCTTTCACTGTCATGAGCAAGGGGCAGAAAATGGAGAGACAGCAAGAAGGGAAATGAGCATTGTTGGTTTTCCAGCCATTAAGGACCACAATGCATCCCTGGGGGCCTCTTCCAGTTTACCTCTTCCAAGACTGTCGTCTCAGCTCTGAGAGGGGTGGAGGGTGTTTGGAAGCACTGACTTCAGGAGCTCTCAAGGAGCACAAAGAGAGAGCTGACCCAGGCTTCTTGCTTATTTAAGTAGTATGATGCAAAAACTTTCTTTTTAAAAAAAGAAAAGAAAACGAACATAGGAGTTGTAACCCATGCATTTAAATGCATTGAACATTGAAAACATGGGTAGATGAATTCCACTAGCAAGCATCTGTAATGAAATAAGTGGTACTGAATAAGGATGGATAGAGGGGGAGGGATGGATTAATGATTCAGTCTGTGGGGGGGATATGAGTGCTGGAGAATTGTTCCCCCTAGTGGAACCTAGCTGCAATGAAACAAATGTAAGGGATGAGAGAAGAACTGCCCAGGGGCTGTGGGGTGGGGTAGGAATGGCATAGGAGAAATGTAAAGTTGAGCGGTGTGCTCAGATGCTGCTCATGAGAAAGAGAGAACAAGGGTGGTGAACTGCACTTTTGGTACCATGGATATTGTGAAGCTCTCTGTAATGTATCTATAATGAAAACACACTAACACTCTCACAGTATTGGATGATGCAGTCTGGAAGAAAAAAAAAGAAGCAAGTCTATTATCTTTTTCCTGTTATACTGTAGTAACTCATTTAGGAACAGAAGAGGCCTGTGGCGTGTTTGTTTTATTAGAGTAAAGGGAGGGGGTTTGGGAAGATGGAGCGTGCGCGCTTTTGTCAGTAAAAGTGT